GCTCAGCGGTTTGAGCCTTGTCCCATGGACTGAGAGGTTCTGGTTTGATTCCCGGTTAGGGCACGTGCCAGGCTTCAGGCTCCAGCCCCAGTGCGGGGGCAGGCAGGAGGCAACTGATTAATGTTTCTCCTTCACATTGGTGTTTCTATCTCTCTCTCCCTTTCTATCTCTCTAAAAAAAATCAATAAAATATATATTAAAAAAATGTACACAGACTGATGGTGAAGGGATGGAGGAAGATGTTTCATAAAATTGAACAACAAAAATGTTGGGGTAGCAATAGTTATATCAGACAAAATAGACTTTAAAACAAAGGCTGGAACAAGAGACAATAAAGGACCCAGCAATTCTTCTTTTGGGTTTTTATCTGAAGAAACCCAAAACACTAAATTGAATAGATATATGCATTCATATGTTCACTGCAGCATTATTTACAATAGCCAAGTTATGTGGTACATATATACAATGGAATATGACTCAGCCATAAGAAAGAATGAAATCTTGCCATCTACAACAACATGGATGGACCTAGAAGGTATTGTGCTGAGTGAAATAAGTTAGGGAAAGGCAAATACCATATAATTTCACTTATATGTGGAATTTAAAAAACAAAAAATGAACTAGCAGAACAGAAACAGACTCGACATTTTGATGGTTGCCAGATGGGAGGGCGATTGGGGGATGTGTGAAAAAGCTAAAGGGATTAAGAAGTACAAATTGGTAGATACAGAATAGTCATGGGGATGCAAAGTACAACATGGGGAATATAGTCAATAACGTAATAACTATGTATAGTGTCAGATGGGTACTAGATTTATTGGGGTGATCACTTCATGTTACATAAATGTCTAATCACTGTGCTGTACACCTGAAACTAATATAATATTGTATGTCAACTGTAATTGAAAAATAAAAAATTATTTTAAAATAAATTCTGTAATTATTTTATAAGTATCACAATTAAATTGCTGGGCATTGTCATCTGTGATAGAACATTAAGACAAAGTTAACTCAAAAAATAGACAAAAGAGTCCTGGCAGGTTTGGCTCAGCGGTTGGAGCGTTGGCCCGCGGACTGGAGAGTCCTGGGTTTGGTTTCTGCTAAGGGCATGTGCCTTGGTTGCGGTTTGTCCCTGGCCCTGGTTGGGGTTGTGTGGGTGGCAATCAGTTGATGTGTCTCTCTCACATCAATGTTTCTCTCTCTCTCCCTCCCTCTCTCCCTTCCGCTCTATCTGAAGATAAATGCAAAAAATGTCCTTGGGTGAGGATAAAAAACAAAACAAAACACAATGAAAATAGGCAAAAGAAAAAAAACCCCCAAACAACCTGCCACCTATCATTTTGGAGTGGTCTGCCTCTCTGTCTTTGCCTTGCCCTCTGTGTACAGCGGCAGTTTGAAAACCAACACCAGGGTTTTTTGTCCCTACTTCAGTCCTCTGAGTCTTGACCCCCATCTTCTTTTTCCTTTCCATATACATTTATTGAACATCAGTAAAGACTGGATTGGGGGAGGAGAAAGGTCTAGTGACTATGTAGATGAGGGAACAATCTCTTTTTGCATTTATCTTGAGATAGAGCAGGAGGGAGAGATGGAGAAAGAAAGAGAGAGAGAAACATTGATGTGAGAGAGACACATCGAGTGGTCACCACCCGCACGACCCAACCAGGACTGGGGACAAACTGCAACTGAGGTACGTGCCCTTAGTGGGAACAGAACCCGAGCCTCTCTGGTCTGCTGGCCGAAGCTCTAACCGCTGAGCCAAACCGTCCAGGGCAGGAAACAATCTCACCACTCAATGCAATCAGTCACTCAGTCAATAATTAGACTACTCTGAAGAGTCCTGGGTGAAGCTCTGGGAATAGAAAAACGAATAGGACATGGTCGCATTCCTTTGGAGGCCAGAAGTGGCTATCGGGCACCAGTCCTTTGATAGAGTATCAGAAATAATTTCACTTCTCCCTGAGTGCCACTCCTCTTGGCTGACAGCACTGTTTTAACTGGACCAGGATGCAAAGCTGGCTCAATCCATCTTTCAAGATCACCTTTCAGAAGGCTCAGACATGGCACCAGGGTCTCCTCAGCCATGTTCCAGTATATGCAGCTGAGTTCCCTGTGGGCCACTAGAAGCTTCTCCCACAAGGGACAAGTAGACAAGAGCTCAGTTATCAAGGACAAAGAATTTGGGATGTGAGGGAGATTTGGTTGCGACATCTGTCACCCCAGTGATCGCCAGGGTTGATACAGCTGGTCTGGCTGGCTAGGCAGGTGTCCCCCTCCTCCCTCACGGATTCATGTGCGTCCCTCCTGGAGCTGCGCATTGGGTTGAAGAGGATGACCTTCCCTCCAGAGGAGAAGACCCATCTTGGATCAAGGGTATACGAGTAGCTGTGTTCACCTGCTAAAACCTCCAAACAAGCTCTTAAGAATTTGGCCTTTGGCTCCAGTGCACCAGTGCCAGATGGGAATGACTGAAATAATCAAGCACAGAGGAGATTCAAATTATAGTAATAATTGACTGATTTGTCAAAATTACAGCCAGAAATGGGTTAGCAGCCCATTCCCCTCAGGGAAAAGTGGGGGTCTTGTCACAGTGGTAAAATAGTAACCACCTATAGCGAAAAAATTTGAGGTTACCCACCGGCAGTAGCTGTCCTTGGTCTGACTCCAGACAGTACGTGGAGTGCGCTATGCACAGGTCTGGCCACCCTTGGGGCTCCAGGTAATATATATATATATATATTTTTAATTTGGTACCTGCCCCTAACAGGAACCGAACCTGGGACTCTGGTCCACAGGCTGACGCAAACCGGCCAGGGCAGGGGCTCCAGGTAATCTTGAAGAACCATTTCTTTTCTATCACTTAGAGCAGCAGCGGGCAGTCTGCTTGGCTCTGCATCTTGACACCCAGGGACAACAGCACAGCTGTCATGGGGAACTGGTGTTAGCAAACCCTCCCTTAACTAACTCTCCCTTCTTGCCAGTCACCCTCAGAGCAGGCAGAGGCCCTCACAATCCGGGAATTCACCCTGGAACTGAGATCACCGTTCACAACACTTCTTTAAGGCAGAACATAATTAACCTCATCCCCACTTCAAAGTCACAGAGTTTCCCCATTTTGCTAGAGCGGGTGAGGCAGGGTGTACAGTGGAGCCAGCACTGACTGGCCTTAAGGACACAACTCCTGGGTGCAAGTAAGTCCTAGCTCCACCGCTGGCCACAGACGTTTGAATAAGTCATGAAATAAGCTGGGTCTGCACATCCGTGAAGCAGCTCACAGTGTATTACGAGGGCTGAATTAAGGAGGATATTGTATATGAAAACCCTTTGTAAGCACTGAGGTCATTTTACTACATGGACGTGGTAAGTACAATGCTTTGCTGATTAGTGCCATCCAGGAAAGCATAACATTCCTCTCGGAGCTGTTTCTAGAAAATAGTTCTCTGCAGTTGCTACTTCAGAGCTACCTTCCTGCTGGGTTTTTCTGCTGGATGCCAAGGGCTCAGAGTGAATCTGGGACTCGCTTATGCCAAGGTTGTGGATCCCTCTGGCATTTCCTTCTACTCACTTTCCTGTTTTCTTTTTGGTTCAATTCATTTTTTTTTTTTTCATTATATACACCACCTTGTATTTTATGTATCTCTGTCTTAAATTCTTTTGGGGACAAAGTGTGGTATAATTAAGTACATACTGTATATACACAGAAACACTAATTATTTTTTGCATGCCAGTGTTTTGTCTACTTTTTAAAAAATGTCATGTTTTCGACTCAGGCTAAGTCATAATAAAATACAATCAAATCCACCTGAGATGAGCCACAGGAAGGCCCCCAACACCAGGCCTGGCTTGTGAAAAGGGTCCTGCAAATTCTAATTTCATCAGAAATTCACCAGACTCTTCCGCGCACAAAGGCATTAAGTGGCTGGACCGTTCTGTTGGGATGATTTCATCCATTCAAGCTGATGTCTAGCGTCTTTTGCCAGAACAATTCCAGTGGAGTAAAGGGTGAAGTGGCAGGTGGAGACGGAGCAAAGGCTGAGCTTGGCGAACCCAACCGTGAGGGTGGGAAGTGGAGGAGGGGAGGAAGCCCAGAGGCTGGTGGACCAGCGAACGCAGCTTAGCTGGGAAAGAAAGGGAGGGACCGTGGTGGTAGGGACACTAGAAGTGGGCACAGGGATTTTGTTGTTCTTTTAAGGTGGAGAGAGAAGTCTGATTACCCACCGAGGAGAAGGCGAAGAGGTCCCAGCTAGAGGCTGGGAGGTCTGGAGGGCAGCGCGGGAGCTGGACTGCAGTGTCCGGCAGGGTGCGCCCCGGGTTGAGAGCGCCGTGGGCAGACTGGCTCCCGGGTAGGGAGAAGGGAAGCGCCGGTGTCCCCGCGCGCTCTCGGAACGTGCTCCTGTCCAGCCTCTCCCTGCCCCGGACCATTCATAGGTTTGGGTGAACCGCTGAATCCACGCGGTCCTCCGCAGAGAGGCCCCCTTCTACGAGCTCGGACCTCCGACGCGGTGGCGCCTGGCGGGTTTGGGGGCTCCGCGATCGCCGGGCAGAAAACGCTTGATTCGCCGCTCGGGCTTGCGAGTCACCCAGACGCGGTGGGAATCCCAGCGCCGCTCACCAGCTCATCACCCCCGCTTGGCCTCAGCTTCGCGTCTTCAAAGTGGAGCTAACAACGGTACTCACTTCTTAGAACTGTTGTGACGAATAAAGGGCACAACGTAAAGAAAACGTTTAGTGCCGAGCCGGGACCTAGTATCCTAAACAGGGGCTGTGGTCATTACCCTTTTCAGCTCTCCAGAGCGTGGGCCTGTTGCTGGTCTGTTCGCTGTGAGGTTTGGTCGTCCCCAAACGACGGTGCAGGTGTTGGGATGAAAAACCCAGGAGGTGGGCGGGGGTTGGTGGTGACGTGAGACACGAGGACTCGTCTAAGTTCTCACGCCTCCTCCACCTGCCCAGCTCCCAATTTGCCCAGGGCGGGGCAGTTGGTGGAGTGGTTGCCCGGCCAGGATCGACCAGCTTGGTCCTACGAGGTGGAGAGATTCAGAATGACCTTGTGTGGGTGAGTGTCACCGGAGCACCGAAAAGTGGAGGGTCACACATGGCCAGCCCCGCGAGCCCTCGGAGAGCATCCAGGGCCGGGAGGTGATGGTTGGTCTCCAAATTCAGTCAAACCGGCTCCCCCTTCCCCACCTAGGTGGGGACAGCGGGAAGGGGATGACGCCCGGGGACGCTGTTGCTGTGCCCCAGGGAACACTGGTTTTCCAGTTTGAAAATTCGACTGGGAATGTAGAATGGGGTCTTTGGAGCGCAGGATTCGGGTCTCTCGTTGGAGCCCGGAGGCTCTGACCCAGGGCTGGGGCCTCTTTCCTGCGCCCGGGACCGATCGCCACGTGGACGTGGGTCCCTGCGCGAGGGCCGCGGGCTCTGGGCCGTCGAAGAGCTGAGGTTGCGTCCCTTCCGCGGCCTCAGAAAACACCCGAGCAGGTAGGATTTTGGAAAGTCGGTTTTCAGGTGCATACACCCTCACCACAGAGTGAACGTCTCTATTGTCCTGGGGCACTAAAGAGCCTAAGGAGTAGCATAGTAGTTAATGGGAGAAAGGAGACTTGGAGGTCCACCTTAATGTTTATAAACTACTTAGAAGGATCAGAAATACATTTGTGCCTTTTTATCCCCAAAGTTTATTTCCTTTGTCTTTTTCAAGACTAGAACAATCATTTAGCACTGACAAGGAAGTCATCTCATGAAAACATTTATGAGCATTATAAGGAAGCATACTTTGTACCCATCGAAGGTCCCTGGCTAAGGCTTTCTTTCCAGCAATTCCTTCCTCAAAAGCCCCTCATCCCCCGTTCCTTACTGGGTGACCCAGGAATCTTGGCACCATGATAGAAACAGGTGCCAATGAATTTAAAGCAGGCTAGTGCTTGGCAAACTTGATTTGCTCTGCACAATTGGACTGCTGCAACCATACACGAAGGTCTGGGTTTTCACTGATTTTGCTCGCTAACTTTATATCTCTACCATCTTAAGGCTGCTGCTGGCTGGTGTGACCTTGGCGGAACTAAAGTTTCTCTCTCCTTTAAACTTTCCTTTGATTCCAAGTTTTATTTTTCATTAAAAATGTCTGATTTTGAAATGGGTACTTCTAATTATGTCCTTCTAAGATAGGGTAGCATAATAACTAATGGAGAATAGTTTCTTTTCTTTGTATTTTTCAAAAGTAAAGCAATCATTTAACACTGACAAAAAGTCATCTCTTGAAATGCAAAAATGCGTTCATGAGATATTCTATAAGCATTGAAATAGTATACAAAGGAGGAAGAGCACCCTACCCACCGGGAAATGATTTAGTCGCGCTATGCAAATGACTCAGTAAATAGTAGTTGGTAAATTCATTTCCTTTCATACGCTATTCGGCACTTATTTGTTATGCATAGTTCCTGTTCTAGATTGTCCGAACAGCGCTCACAGCAGCACCTTTTAAAGAACGTACTCTAGCCTTGGCCAGTTTGGCTCAGCGGTTGGAGCATCGGCCTGCGGACCAGAGAGTCCCGGTTTCCGTTACCGCTAGGGGCACGTACCTAAATAAATAAATAAATAAATAAATAAATAAATAAATAAATAAATAAGATACAATAAAGAAAGTACCCTTAACTATATCCACTCTACAATTGTGGAAATTGAGGAAGTTTCCTGAGGAATACACTGGATAAAGCAGATTGAAATTCAGCTGTATTTGAGGCTAAAGCCAATGCTTTTTTATTGTGTGGGGGATTTTATTCATAATATTTCATTCAATGAATATTTGATAACCCAACTATGTGCTAGACATTGTACTAGGTGCTGGGAATAAAACTGTCCCTATCTCCTGGAGAAGTAACGATTTTAGCATCATCAGCTGATCATTTTTAAACTCTTTCCTCTATAGAACAGAATTATCTACAGTAATAGTAATAATTATTTTCTTGTTTTCTTTCTTCATTTTAAGACAATAAAAAATAGCCTGGCTAGTGTGGCTCAGTGGATTGAGCATTGTCCCATGGACTGAAAGGTCCTGGTTCGATTTCTGGTCTGGGCACATACCCAGGTTGTGGGTTCGATCCTCTGTTAGGGCATGGGAAGGCAAACAATTGATTTCTCTCTCTCTTTCAATTCAGTTTATAAAAATAAAATGCCAGTTTTATGAAGGCTAGTGTCTTTTTTTTTTTTTTTTTTTGGCTAATCCTCATTCAAGGATATTTTTTTAATTGACCTTTTTAAAGAGAGTGGAAGGGAGGGAGGGAGAGAAACATCCACTGATTCTTGCCTCCCCCACGCACCCGGAAAGGGGCTGGGGATCTAAGCTGCAACCCAGGTACCTGCTCTATGCCAGTGGACCAGAGTGTCAGCTCAGTGTGTTTTTAAGGAAATGGTTGACAAAACGAAGGGTTGAGACCAGCAGGTAATTGGGGATTTATCAAAGTTTTGCCATAACATATTTCTTTAAAAAAATATTTATTTATTTATTTCCTTTATTGATATTTTAGAGAGAGAGAGGAAGTGAGAGGAAGAGAGATAAAAACATCAATTGGCTGCCTCCTGCATGCCCCCCACTGGGGATCAGTCCCACAACCTGGGCATGTGTCCTGACCAGGAATCGAACTGGCGACCTCTTGGTGCATGGGTTGATGTTCAACCACTGAACCACACTGGCCAATACCATAATATATTTCTAAGTTTTGCTTTTTGGCTGCTTCCCAAAGGTTTTGACATATGACATTTTTATTATCACTTAGGACAAACTAGTATCTAATTTCCATTATGATTTAATCTTTGACTTAGAAGTATATTTCTGAATTTCCAAAAACAGGGATTTCCTTGTTATATCTTTGTTGTTCACTGCTAGCTTAATTGGATGGGGGGGGGGGCAGAAATATACTCTGTGTTATTTATTTTTTTATCCTCACCCGAGGACATTTTTTTTTTCTTTCCATTTTTTGTTCAGATAGAGTGGGAGGGAGAGAGAGAGAGAGAAACATCGATGTGAAGGGACACATCGAGTGGCTGCCACCCGCACGACCAACCAGGGCCGGGGACAAACTGCAACCGAGGTACATGCCCTTAGCGGGAACCGAACCCGGGTCTCTCTGTACCGCAGGCCGACGCTCCAACCGCTGAACCAAACCGGCCAGGGCAACTCTGTGTTATTTAAATTCTTCAAAATTTTGGACACTTTTTTTTTTATCCTCACCCGAGGACATTTTTGCACTTATCTTCAGATAGAGCAGGGGGGAGAAAGGGAGGAAGAGAGAAAGAGAAACATCGATGTGAGAGAGACACATCGAGTGGTTGCCACCCACACGACCCCAGCTGGGGCCGGGGACAAACTGTAACTGAAGTACATGCTCTTAGTGGGAACCGAACCCAGGTCTCTCTGGTCCACGGGCCGAAGCTCTAACCTCTAAGCCAAACCGGCCAGGGCTGAACACTTGTTTTATGACCCAGAATTTGTTCAATTATTGTGTATGTTCTTTCTATGTTTGAAAAAAATGTGTATTTTGCAGTCATTACATGCAGTGTTCTATTTATGTCCATTTATATCAAGTTTGTTGATTATGGGTTTGTCTATTTCTCCTTGTAATTCTTTTAATGTTTTTGCTTTATATATTTTGAGGCCTCCTGCATGCCCCCCACTGGGGACTGGGCCCACAACCTGGGCATGTGTCCTGACCGGGAATTAAACTGGTGACCTCTTGGTGCATGGGTCTACACTCAACCCTGAGCCACACTGGCCAGGCAGCCTTGCATTTTTGTTGTTTTAATTTCCTTATTAAAAAAAAAAAAATGCTATCCTGTCTCAGAATGTGCCTTTACAAACATGATCTTTACAAAATAGTTTGTGCAGGTAATCTGATATGTATGATAACTTGCCCCAGAGATGATTTCTGTTTGGCTCTGTTCACTTCAAGAGATGAATTCAATTCACTTCAATTCTCACTTCACGAGAAACCTAGCTGGGGGAGGAGGGGGTGGGAAAAGATTAACCAAAGAACGTTTATGCATATAAGCATAACCCAAGGACATAGACAATAGTTTGGTGAAGGCCTGGGGGGGATGGTGGGGGATGGAGGGGGTCGATGGGGGGAAAAGGGGGAGGAACATCTGTAATACTTTCAACAATAAAGATAAATTAAAAAGAGAGAGAGAGATAGACTCTTAGTGGCCATGCCTGGGAGAGTGTATCTGATTCTGGTTCCCCCTTCTCCAAGGTGCGACAGCCCATTCAGAATTCCAATGTAAAGGAAGGCGGATTCACCAGAAACTCCCACTCCTACCTCTACCCATGGTGGATTGAACTCTAATATTTATTCCTCTAGCCCCAGGAGGCTGAGTAAAACACGCTTAGCCTCTGTGCTGCCCCCCTCAGGAAGAAGCAAACACATCCAGAAGAAAAGTAGTCCCCACCCTTCGCCTCTGTTAATCTCTTGAATCCTATCCCAGTAGTTCATTATGTTGGCAGCTCTCTGATCTTATCCAGCAGATTTTTTTCAGGTCCAGCTTTTCTATGTCCTCAGTGGGAAAGTAGATCTAAATTGCCCAGTCCACTATTATTGGAGGCAGAAGTCCTTTTTGTCCCTAAGGCTCTTAGATGAGCTAGTATAGGAGGTGGATGTTCCAGGAGACTGTTTTGGGACCTTCCACCAAAGTAACAGTGGAGTATAGCTTATTTTAATTTAGTTTAAAGAAAGGTGAGCCTGGCCAGTGTGGCTCAGTGGCTGAGCATGGACCCATGCACCAAGAGGTTGCTATTTGGATTCCTGGTCAGGGCACATGCCCAGGTTGTGGGCTGACCCCCAGTGGAGGTCATGCAGGAGGCAGCAGATCAATGTTCTCTCTCATAGATGTTTTTATCTCTCTCTCTAAAATCAGTAAAGAAGGCTGGCCGGTGTGGCTCAGTGGATTGAGCACCCTCCCATGGACTGAGAGGTCCTGATTCGATTCCCCGGCACAGCACATGCCCGGGTTGCAGGCTCGATCCCCAGTAGGGACATGCAGGAGGCAGCCGATGGATGTTTCTCTCTAAAAAATCAATAAAAAATATATAAAAAATAAAATCAAATCACTTGGCCGGTGTGGCTTAGTGGTTGAGCATCAACCCATACAACAAGAGGTCACCTGTTTGATTCCCCATCATGGCATATGCCCAAGTTGTGGGCCCGATCCCCAGTGGGGGACGTGCAGGAGGCGGCCCTATCGATGTTCTCTCATCGGTGTTTCTATCTCTCTCTCTAAAATCAATAAAAAAAAATTTAATATATAAAATCAATAAAGAAAAAAATATAAGGAAAGGCGACATGATTTGTACTCTTAGTATTGTGAAACAATTCATAGTCTTTTTTTTTTTTTTTATCCTCACCTGAGGACATTTTTCCATTTTTTATTCAGATAGAGCAGGAAGGAGAGAGGAAGAGAGAGAAACATCGATGTGATCACATCGAGTGGCCACCACCCACACAACCCAACCAGGGCCAGGGACAAACTGCAGCCAAGGTACATGCCCTTAGCGGGAACCGAACCCAGATCTCTGTGGATGGCAGGCTTAAGCTCTAACCGCTGAGCCAAACTGGCCAGGGCACAATTCATAGTCTTTATATATATCATTTGAATGGGTTTCTGTTACTTGCAACCAAAATTCCTGACTGGAATATCCAAAAGCAGTATGGATATATCACTTTTGCCCATGACCTCATCAAACCTTTTTGGTTATTAATAGGTAAAAAATGCTATTTTTAATTTTAATATTCTTAACTTATGAGAACAAATATTCTTCCCATGTGTTCACCTCAGATGTTTATCTCATAACTGGATTAAGATCGAACCTTTGTTCTCCTAGAAGTCCAGTATTACCATTTTAATTTCAGTGTTGATTTTCACCGTGCAGACATTTTAAAAAGTTCAGATGTGTACACAAAGATAAAGCCCACAGAAATCATGAGACTACCTTTTTAGGCAACAGAAAAATGAGGCTACTGGCTAACTGGCTTCCATGGTTTGCAGAGAGAGCTTGACATCAGGACCGTCCCTGCTGGGATACAGGAGTCCCTCAGGGCAATGAGGAGCACCATCCTCTGACTCAGTACAAGACTGCCCTATAGTCTCTGCCTGGTCCCACCAAAGCTCTGTATGTGGAACAGGAGAACTGCTTGGCAGGGTTAAACAGCTGCACCTGGCTGGAAGGGTCAAGTTGCCATCAGCCGATACAGATGACTGGCTCATTTCTCACTGACTTAATACATTGGATTTTGGCTTTCTTGAATTTTTCTCAAATATGGTCCAACCAGAATAACAGACGCATACAATTATAATTTTAACATCCCCACTTAAGCACAAAAGCAGTGCAATTTCAACAGTGCAGAACATTTGTCGCTATCTGATAAAAATTCAGCTGTTGAACATTTTATTGGCAATCTCTAACCACACACTTCCTATTAACGTTGGCATTAAAATGCTGTCCCTCGCTGGAACCAGGTTTGATGGAAAGAACTCCAAGCTGAGACGGGTCTGTTCAGATGGTCAGACTTGACTGAGCGTAAGTAAAGGTCTATTTTCTGCCAGTGTTTCTGTAACTTGACTACTTCAAATATATCTATCATTTTCTGAATACCATTTTAGGAAATCAGATGTTACAGAAATATGTAACAAAGTAGTATACATTTCACATATACTTGTGGTTTTTTTTGTTTGTTTATTCCACCCACTTATTTGCTTATTCCTGAATCAGTATCATGCTTTTATTTATTTATTTATTTATTTTTCAGATAGAGCGGGAGGGAGAGAGGGAGGAAGAGAGAGAGAGAAACATCAACGTGAGAGAGACATATCAAGTGGTTGCCACCCACATGACCCCAACTGGGGCTGGGGACAAACTGCAACTGAGGTACGTGCCCTTAGTGGGACCCGAACCCAGGACTCTCTGGTCCACGGGCCAACGCTCTAACTGCTGAGCCCAACTGGCCAGGGCAGTATCATGCTTTTAATAACTGTAACTTTATAGTAATTTTGTTCTTTAGTAGTAGTAGTAAAAAAAGAAGACTTAGAACTGAAGACTGCATGATTTCAGGTAAGGCCAGTGATACAAACAGGAGCACTTTTTTTTTCCTTTATTGATTTTAGAGAGAGAAGAAGGGAGAGGGAGTGAGAGATAGAAACATCGATGAGAGAGAACATTGATTAACCGCCTCCTGCGTGCCCCTCACTGGGGATTTGGCCCACAACCTGGGCATGTGCCCTGACTGGGAATTGAACTGGTAACCTTTTGGTGCATGGGTCAACGCTCAACCAGCGAGCTACACCAGCCAGGCACATTTTAAATGCTGAATAGCAAGAATCTTTTTTTTTTTTTGGTACATGCCCCTAGCAGGAACCAAACATGGGACTCTCTGGTCCGCAGGCTGATGCTCCAACCGCTGAGCCAAACCGGCCAGGGCAGCAAGAACCTTTTGCTGAGTGTCCAGTAGGACCAGAAGACCGGGCTCAAAGTTACCTTAATGGTCTGTCTGCTACATAGGTCCCACACGTTTCTTCTTAAGTTTCTGCTGCCTGGGTGTTCTGTCCTTCTGTGTTGCTCATTCAAATTAGGTCTCTTTTTTTTGTTATATTTTGACTCATTGTTGGCTTATAGAAAACTGTGTAGTAGCATGATTTTGAATCCTGCATCCATTGTTCATCAACTGAGCAATTTACTTTTTCTCTCTAAGTCTAGCTAACTTATCTGTTAATTGGTAGCAATAATGGAACCTCTGTCATTATGTTGTTGTGAGTATTAAATGAGATGATGTACACAAAGCTCTTGGCAGATGATTAGAACATAGTAAGTGGTCATAAGATGATAACACTAATGATTAGTTTTAAAAATGTTTATTTCATAACTAGCTACTCTAGTAAAATGTTACTAATTCTAATAGTTTCTCATTTAATACATTCTAGTTTTCCAATATGCAATTATTTCATCTGTAAAAAATTATGCATCAGCCCTGGCCAGTTTGGGTCAGCGGTTAGAGTATCGGCCCGTGGACCAATGAGTTGCAGGTTCAATTCGGGTCAAGGGCACATACCTCCGTGGTTCATCCCCAGCCCTGATTGGGTTGTGCGGGAGGCAACCAGTGAATGTAGCTCTATCACATCAATGTTTCTCTCTGTCTCTCTCTCCCTCCCTCTCACTCTGTCTGATGATAAAAGGAAAAATATCCTCAGGTGAGGAATAAAAAAAATAAAGAAAGAAAATAAAGATTTTAATGAAATTTGCTTTTTTTTTTTTTGTGCCCCAACAGCACTAGATTTCTGTGTTTCCTTAAGATGTCTGCGTTAGTCATAGGATTTGGCATGGTTTTATTTACGTTCAGAAGTATGTACCTTCATGAAAAGTTCAGCCTCCAACTCGAACTTCCTCGTCCTGCTCTGGCTGACCTGATGCCAAAGCTTCTACCTGAGGAGCGCCTCAGGACCCTCTTTACCTACAGTGAAGTCTGGTGAGATACCTCACGTTCTCTCTCTTCCATCGCAGGCGGACAGCTCCCTTGCTCCTCCCATGGTTGGCTGTGCTCTACTGTGCCCATTTTATAGATGATTCTCTACCTTCCTGAACTGTGTTGCTAAATGATTCCCAACTGTGGGACCAGGAAAGGGCTTGGTCTCCAGAGTAGTCTCTGTTCTCTGCAACACTCAGCAAAGGCCCTTAAAACTTTGAAGAGCCCATTTAACTGCCTCCTTTTTGACCCTCCTGCCTCCTCTTCTGGTGGCGCTGAGATGCCACTGGCATCCCTGTGACTCTCAAGTTGAAAGAAGTTTGGTGCAGAGGGGAATTCAAGAGAAGGGGGCCTTCTTCCCTTCCCCCTCCCTCCCCTGCCTTCGTCTCTGTCAGGGGCCACTGCTGAGATTCCAGAGTCTCAGCCTAACTAGGACAGCGGGTCTGAGAAAGGAAATTCTCACGCAGGATGAGGCCTCAGGTTCTCTCACCCACCCACCCACCCAATAACGTTACAGTCCTCTTGCTTGTTTTAGGCTGTTCCCGAAAAATCAGTGCCAATGTGAAACCAAACATCAGGGCTACAACTTTCAGGATGCTTATGCCCGGACAGACCTCCCTGCGGTGGAAGCAAGGAGACGGGCTGAATTTGAACACTTTCAGAGGAGGTAATGTACACGCGAGGGCTCTCGAGGCCTGGGGAAGAGCAAAAGCTCTCTCTGCTTTGTCCTGAGGGCATGGATTTGAAGACAGAAGGAAGAAGCTCTCCTTCTTGCAGGGTCCCTGGGAGGAACTATTAGGAATAAACCAAGGAAAGAGAACTGAAGAAATAGCCCTTAAATGAAGATTTATCAATTTTGCATCCATAAAACATTTCATAATAAAGAAGAAGAAGCCCAGCTGGTGTGGCTCATTGGTTGAGCATCGACCCATGCACCAAGAGGTCACTGGTTCAGTTCCCGGTCAGGGCACATGCCCAGGTTGTGGGCCTGATCCTCAGTGGGGGGCAGGCAGGAGGTGCCAGTCAATGTTCTCTCTCATCGATGTTTCTATCTCTCTATCTCTCTCCCTTCCTCTCTCTATAACATCAATAAAGAAAAAAAATTGAATAAAAATAAAAAAATAAAGAAGCAAAAGAATGAAGGTAGTTTGAAATGTCAGTGTGGTGTTATGGCACAGCCTCCATGCACCCAGGCTGTCATAGCAGGTGACTTTGTAGTCTCACCGAGTTGCACTATTACATTTATATTGAGAACATACTGTCCCACTGCTGTGTGCAAGGTCCACAGTTAAAACACTTGGGGTACCCTGGCCGGTTTGGCTCAGCGATTAGAGCGTCGGCCTGCGGTCCGGAGAGACCCGGGTTCGGTTCCCGCTAAGGGCGCGTACCTCGGTTGCAGTTTGTCCCCGGCCCTGGTTGGTACTGTGGGTGGCAACCACTCGATGTGTCCCTTTCACGCTGATGGGTTTTTTTTTTTTTCTCTCTCTCTCCCTCCCACTTATCTGCTTCTTTTTTTTTAGTCCTCACCCGAGGACATTTTTTGCATTTTTTGATACTTTGTTCAGATAGAGTGGGAGGGGGGAGAGAGAGAGAGAGAGAGAAACATCGGCGTGAAAGGGACACATCGAGTGGCTGCCACCCGCACGACCAGCCAGGGCCAGGGACAAACTGCAACTGAGGTACGCGCCCTTAGCGGGAACCGAACCCGGGTCTCTCTGGACCGCAGGCCGACGCTCTAACCGCTGAGCCAAACCGGCCAGGGCCCTCCCACTCTATTTGAACAAAAAATGGAAAAATGTCCTCCGATGAGGATTAAAAAAACACCCCCCCCCCAAAAAAAACACTTGGGGTATATTGACCAGGATTATTATTTTTTTAAATTTATTTATTTAATCCTCACCTGAGGACATTTTAGCATTTACCTTCAGATAGAGCAGAAGGGAGAGAGGGAGGAAGAGAGAGAAACATCGATGTGAAAGAGACACATCGAGTGGTTGCCACACGCCCCTAGAGGGAACCAAACCCTGGACTCTCTGGTCCACTGGCCGATGCTCTAACTACTGAGCCAAACTGGCCAGGGCTTGGCCAGGATTATTGATTGAAAAGAACAAAATCGATTTTGTCTGGCTTATGTCAAAAGAGAGTTTGTGGGAAGGATAGGATAACCAGGCTGAGAATTTAAGATACAGTGGCATACACAAGGTCTAGGCAAGCCCTTCCTTTTATTTTTAAATTTTCATCTGAGGATATAGTTCCATTTATTTTCAGACAGAGTGGGAGGGAGAGAGAGAGAAAATCATCGATGTGACAGACTGCACAACCCTGACCAAGGCTGGGACCTACTGCAACCGAGGCATGCGCCCTTGACCGGAATCGAACACATAACTCATTGGTTCTCCAGCTGAAGCTCTAACCACTGAGCGAGCAAACCAGACAGGGTTTCGTCTTTTTTTTTAAGCAATCATTTATGAACTATTGTAGAAGGTGTGCTATAATAAAAACATAATAGCATTGTGGTTAAGGACTTGCAATTTGGAACAGGTTGGATAGCAAGTAACTTAACCTCATAGTATTTCAGTATCTTACATGAAAAATTCAAAAGCTTATTGTAAGGTTAATTGTATTAACATACAAAGAACTAACTAGTAACTCAAAAAGGGCCTGACATATAGAAGCACTGCAAAATATGACCTATGATTATTGTTGATTTATCATTAATATCATCATTCTTTTAAAAAATTTACTTATTGATTGATTTTAGGGAGAGAGGAAAGGAGAAAGAGAGATGGATTTGTTGTTCCACTTAGTTATAAATTCATTGGTTGATTCATGTATCTGCCCTGATGGGGGATCAAACCCAAAATCTTGCTGTTTTGAGATGACTTTACATAGGCCTTACCTTTAAATTTTAATTAAAGGGTAGTTGTTTTTTAAAGTTGTATTTTCCTGATTAATATTGAAGTTGAGCATGTGTCATATATTTATTTTCCATTTGCATTTCCTCTTTTAAAAATTGCCTATTTATCTCCTTTTCTATTTTTTTTTTTTATCCTCACCCGAGGACATTTTTCCATTTTTTGTTCAGGTGGAGTGGGAGGGAGAGAGAGGAACAGAGAGAGAGAGAGAAACATCGACATGAAAGGAACACATCGAGTGGCTGCCACCCGCACAACCGACCAGAGCCGGGGACAAACTGCAACCGAGGTACATGCCCTTAGCGGGAACCGAACCTGGGTCTCTCAGGACCGCAGGCCGATGCTCTAACCGCTGAGCCAAACCGGCCAGGGCTATCTCCTTTTCTATTTTAAAATTTTGTCCTTTTAATATTCCCATAAATTCTCACTATAGTAGTTTAATCTCTCTTCCAGGTAATCTTAGTGGTATTTTTGGTTGAACTGGATCCCTGAAGGCTACCATCCAACCATTTACCTTAGTCCCTCAAAGAATGGATCTCACGCCCCTGGCCGGTTCGGCTCAGCGGTTAGAGCGTCCGCCTGCGGTCCGGAGAGACCCGGGTTCCCCGGGTTCGGTTCCCGCTAAGGGCATGTACCTCGGTTGCAGTTTGTCCCCGGCCCTGGTTGGTCGTGCGGGTGGCAGCCACTCGATGTGTCCCTTTCACATCGATGTTTCCCTCTCTCTCTCTTCCTCTCTCTCCCTCCCACACTGTCTGTACAAAAAAAAATGGAAAAATGTCATCGGATGAGGATTAAAAAAATTAAAAAAAAAAAAAAAGAATGGATCTCACTGCATTGTGTCACGTACTTGTCTTTGCCTGAAGGTTGTTACCACAACAAAACCATCCTCACTGTGCTAGACAACAACCACTAACATAAATTTTCCTGTGATATACTTTATTTTTTAGTTTAGTACCAGGAAAAGTTTTAATTCCCTTCAGGAGCTGGTCTCCGTTGCCCCTTTGAAAAGGCCAGAGTACTGACATTCATTTTACACCCTGGGGACCAGGAAGTTCACAGTTGACTTTGGCGTTCAGCTACTGCAGCTGCTTGGGCCCATTAAGTCTGATTATTTTCTTTCTTCTCTTTTTGCTGGTCGTGATTTTTATTTTTTACGTGATTTGTTGTAAACTGCCTCAGTTCTTTTGTGGAATTAGAGTCTGGGAATAAGGGCGGGGATGAAGGGGAGACAGGGTCTTTCTGTTTCTCCCCGTTGGCAGCCCAAGGCTCTGGGCACAGGTACCACTTTAAGATCTAACCTGGGACGGGCGTCAGGGCAACTACTAACGCTCCCTTTCCCCGCAGAGAAGGGCTGCCCCGCCCACCGCCCCTGCTGGCTCCGCCCAACCTCCCCTTTGGGTACCCGGTCCATGGGGTGGAGGTGATGCCCCTGCACACGGTTCCCATCCCAGGTAGGTACACTCCGCCCCATCCTGAGAGGACGCGGGCAACTTTCCTATTCCTTCTTAAACGAACGGAGGGAACAGAAGGGAACACTCATTCGTGGAGTACCTGCTGTGCCTAGCACCAGGCAGGAGGCTGGACGTGCTTTTATTTAATGTTAAATGTCACTGTTTCCACTAGTGGAGGTCATCCTTAGTAGCCGTGACCTCCCTGGGGCTAAGAGATCACACAGAATAGGACAGATAACTATGTGCCTCAAGGAATCCGAAGACATAATTGGCTTTTTGGTGTCCTGCAGCATCACGGGAGCAGGCAAAGCAGGGGCCATCTCCGGGGACTGGAATATTTATATCGATGAAAACTAGGCATGAGGGCCTGGTGCTCCCAGCCCTCCCGCACCTGGGGTGGAGGCGGTGGCTATATGCAGGGGGTCTGCATCCCACCGAGGAAGGAAGTGTCCAAGCTGGGCCAGGCTGTGTAGGTGCCCAGCTGCACACGCGGGGCCCTGGCATCCTCGTCCTGGAGGAAGAGCTGCGACTGAGGGGGGCTCTGGCGGAGACACAAGTGACACTGTTTTCTAGAAATGAAGCATTTATTTGACTTTTAAATAATTAAAAAGCCTGTCCTGTGCAGGCCCTTGCTCAGAAAAAAACCAAAACCGAAACCAAAACCCCTTCCCATGAGGGGTTTTTACACACTCCTCTAGTTCAACCTCACAGCCCTGAGAGGTAGATACTGTTTTGCCAATTTCACAGACGAGTTTAGTAAGTTAACTATGGCCACATAGGGAGGATATGTTTGAATTAGAACTTGAGTTAATCATATTATAAGAACAGATGCTAAAGTAAATACATTTAGGGTTAATTGTTAGTGTTTGTTGTTTTAAAATATGTTTTTATTGGTTTTTTAGAAAGAGAGGAAGGGAGAGATAGAAACATCAATGAGAGAGAAACAGCAATCGCTGCCCCCTCCCCCCCACAATGACCTCTGCCAGGCATGTGCCCTGACTGGGAATCAAACCAGGACCTCTCAGTCCATGGGACAACGCGCAATCCACTGAGCCACACCAGCCGGGCAACTGTTAGTGTTTTTGAAGGTCATTTAACAATGATATGATGCTTTGGGTGATGATTTTTTTTTTATTGTGGTTTTATACATAACAAAATGTACTATTTTAACCGTTTTAAGTATATGTGTCGCTGAAGCGTGTACCTATTTTAACCACTTTTAAGTGTACAGTTCAGGGGCATTAAGTACATTCACACTGATGTGCAACCGTCACCACCGTCCATCTCCAGAACTTTTTCATTTTCCCAACTGGAACTCTGTGCCTATTTAACATTAGCTTTCCTCCCCTGCCCCTGGCAACCACCATTCTACTTCCTGTGTGGGTGAATTTGACTACTCTAGGCACCTCAGATAAGGACGATTCATTATATCCACTGCTTCCTTCACTTCAGTAACAGAGATACCTGGAAGGGACTACATTAATCCCCAGCACCCAGCCAAAGCTGAGGGTGGGCATCCGAGGTTTTAGAATCACTGGAAGGACCATAGGAAGAGTACAACAGAACCCTGGGGAGAGGGGAGTGTGTCAGCAAACACCCTGGATAGGAGGGGACACTTGATGGGACTCTGGAAGGACATGGACTCAGCCAGGAAGGTGTGAGCCTCAGGGAGCTTTTGGAATTCTCTCAGATGGTGTTTTTGTTTTTTGTCCTGTTTCCTGTGTCCTCCAGGTCTCCAGTTTGATGGACCCAATGCCCCCGTCTATCAGGCAAGAGCCCCCTTCCCAGTCTCTCTGTGCACTTGGCATCCTGTCCTTGGCTCACTGCCCATGCTCCCTTCCCCCAGTGGTGGCTGCTCTCAGATTGTGACAGAGCCAAATACCCAGACCAAATATCCATCCAGACCAAATATCAGACATGAGTCTGATGTGGGGAGAGGGAAGGGTGCCTATGGAAGGCACAATTTCTCCAGCCATAGGGGTGGTTGGGGTTCCAGGAAGGACGTCCAAGATCACCCCCAAGCACTGAGCCACCACCCACCACGGTGCTGCTGCTTCTGCTGCAAGAGGATGCCGCTGCCACAGCCCGGCGCTGTGCTGCCCCGTCAGGGTTAGCGCCACCAGGGTGCCCGTGCCTGCTGTTTTCCCCACGCGACACAGCTCCAAATCAAGGTCTCTGCACGTCTATCTGACTGGTGGGACATAAATCACGTCAAGAACCCTAACTAAAGCGGAGCCTGGGAAATGTAGTTTTAGTTTTCTCACCTCTGCATGTTAAGCAGAGGTTGGAATGGGTGGTGAGCGAGCAGAGCTACTGTACCCTCCAGGGGCCTCCCCTTGTCACAGCGCTAACTGGCCATTGCAGAAGACGAAAGGCCAGAGAAGAGGGTAGGGAGCAGCCACGGGGCGAAGAGAGGCGGGCCAATTCCAGCCACACGTTGAAAGTGGAACTGACAGGACTTGTTAGGAGATTGGCTGTAGGTGTGAGGAAGAGGGCAGAACAGCAGCGGCCTCCATCTGGGGACTTGAGCAGTTGGGCAGATGAAGGTGCCATTAGCGAGGCAGGGAGAACCAGCGAGAGGGTGCAAAACAGGCTCCTAGAGAAAGATCAATCGTTCAGTTTTGAAGATATTGGTGTGATTTGCTTGTGAAACTTCCTAGCAGGGCAACTTCCAGGCAGTTGGATCTTAGAAAGAGATGAGTTGCAGATGTACATTTTGAAACCATCATCATATGGATGGTACTTAAAGCCACTGAAGGGGGTGAAATCTTCCAGCAAGAAGGCAAGGGTGCAGAGTCAAGCCTGGAAAACTCCATTTGGAGGTCTGATAGAGGAGGAGGACTTGGCAAACTGAAGTCAAAGGAGAATGTTATCCTGCAAGCCAAGAGATAAGAAAAGAAAAGAAACTACCCTTGAAAGCACCAGGCCCCAGGGCTCAATTCTCCTTCGCTGTGACTACAGCAGTGACACCGTGCAGAGCCAGACCCTAGCTTCTGGGGCACCCAAGACACTGCCCTCGCCCTCATTTGCTCTGCCCACTGCTGGCCATGTTGGGTATGTGCCTCTCCTTGCATTTAGCCTCTTTGTTCTTCGCCTACCCTAGGTCACCCTGACAGCTTCTCTGGGGACACTCAACACCCTCGTAGACATCCCAGACAATGTGGTGCAGGGCAGAGGCCAGAAGCATCTGACCATTTCTACCAGCGACCGGAAGCTTTTGAATTTCATCCTCCAGCACGTGACCTACACCAGCACGGTGTACCAGCTCCACAGGGTGGATGTGGGTGAGAGCCTGTCCTTGGATAGCAAAATGCTTAGGGAGCCGGAAAACACTACTCGGCCCTCTCAAAGTCTTCCTCCTCCAAGAAGCCTGCCTACATTTAAGATGCTTCCCTTGCTCCTGTTTCTAACCCTAGACCCTAACTTCCAAATTACTGTACCCAGGATTATCCCCACATTGTCACTGACCCTATGGAAGTGACTCGAGGAAAGGACAGGTGAAATGCCTGTCGGGACAGATCATTCATGCTGTGCACCTGGAAATCATCCAGGTCTGTTCCCTATTCTCCATAGCTCTCAAAGCTGAAGACCTCGGCTGTGGCAGAGGAGGGAGCCAGCCCATGCACCTGTTACTGTCCTGGGTAGCAACAGGAAAGGAGGATGTGGGGAAACTCCCAGTCCAAATGGCAGTGGCTTTGACTCCGACTTCCCAATCAGCACCCACCCCCAGCTCCACCCTACGATTCCCTGGAGGACAGTTTCTGCCATTCTCAGGGCAACCTAGTTTCTTCCTGGATGAATCAAAGCCATCCCTCTCTCTCTCTCTCTCTCTCTCTAAGCTTTTTCCTTTATTGATTTCAGAGAGAGAGGAAGGGAGAGGGAGAGGTAGAAACATCAATAAGAGAGAACATCGATTGGCCGCCTCTTGCATGCCCCCCACTGGGGATCAGGCCCACAACCTGGCCATGTGCCCTGGAATCGAATCGGCGGCTTCTTGGTGCATGGGTCAATGCTCAACCACTGAACCACACTGGTTGGGCTACCCCTTTCTCTTTTGACTAGCTACACGGGATACATTCCCAGGACACCAACAAAAAGAAATGAAACATGGGACAGGTTACCCAAGGCTGCACACTAAAGAGCGAGTTCTCTCCACCGTCAGGCATTCAAACATTTCCTCTCAAAAAGTGACTCTGTGAGGTACAATAGGGCAGGCATTACTGTCCTGGTTTTGTAGCTGGAGGAGATTGAGTGATTTGCCCAATGCCCTTCAGATAATAATGACAAAGTCAAATTTAATCTGAGCCCTATGATCCACACCCACTCTACCTCACTAGATCCTCTCAAGGGCAAGAAATGTGCCCCAGGGACACACTGCAAGTCAGGAGCCAGAATGCCAGACTCCATTAGGTCCTCAGTCTTATCCCAGCCAGGACACTGTCCACCAAACCTTCACTCCCGCACTGCATGGGCTTCCCTGGGACAGCTCAAAGACTGACCCAGACACGGTGCTGCCCACCCTGACCTTATTTCTCCCTGCAGTGAGTCTGAAGTTCAAGTCTTCAATAGTCAAGTTTCCAGTGGTCATCCGCCATCCTGTTGTACCCAAGTTATATGACCCTGGACCAGGTAAGGCCCTTGTCCCTGGGGCTGCATAGTGGCGTCATGTAGAGCAGTTGGTGAAATTCAGATCCCCTCTGAGATGGAGGATGAGAATCGATCAAAATAACAGCACTGATAGGGTTCCTGGCAACAAACTTTGGAGGAAAACAGTTCTAGGACACACTGCCCGAATATCGCTCAATTATATTCAACTTACATGGTTGTGCTTATTTTATTTTTTTTATCCTCACCTGAGGATATTTTTGCATTCATCTTCAGATAGAGCGGGAGGGAGTGAGGGAGGAAGAGAGAGAGAGAAACACTGATGTGAGAGAGAGGGACATCGACTGGTTCCCTCCTGCACGACCCCAACCAGGGACAGGGACTGAACTCCAACTGAGGTACGTGCCCTTGACTGGAATCGAACCCGCAACTCTTTGGTCCATGAGTCAATGCTCTAACCACTGTGCAAAACTGGCCAGGGCAATAGTAACATTTTATTTTTTTGTGTGTGTTTTTATTTTTATTTATTTTTAATTAATTAATTAATTTTTGTTACAGATGGTTCTCCTTTTCCCCCCACTGATTCCCCCTCCCTTTCCTTCCCCGCCCTGTCCCCAATAGTAACATTTTAATAAGCAATAGTAATAAAAACAGAATGGTACTGGAGCATGAATAGATATATCAATGGAATTGAACTAGAATTCTAGAAATAGACATGTTGGAATTTTACCATGTGATAAAGGTCACTTTCAAATTAAAGGAGGAAAAGATAGATTATTAAAGAAATCATATGGAATAACTGTGGAACATGAGAAGTTGAATCTCTCTCACAGCTCATACCAAGATAAAGTCCAAACAGATCAAATACCTAATTTCTTAAGTACTAGAAAAATAAAGAAGTTTAAAAATAACATTAGAGTATAAGGCCTTGCTAAATATAACACTAAACCTAGAAGCCATCAAGAAAAGACTAAAAACATAAAATACATTAAAATATTAAATATTTTTATGGCGGAAACCCACCATAAATAAAGTTAAATGAAAAAGAACAAATTGGGGAAAATATATCTTCAACCACATTAAAATCAAAGTAATTAAGTAATTTTACATAGAGCACCTGTGAATCATTAAGAATCAAAAGACACACACAACGCAAAAGGTGTGATTTTATGCATTTTTTAACTTTTCATAAAAGTTATCACACTAAGGTTTGTAGTTCTAGATCCTGACCTTTTGTCAGCCCATGGTTTGTCTTTTGATTTTGTTTCTGGGGTCTTTTGTTATATGAAAGTTTTATTCTTTACTGTAGTAAAATTGATTTGTTGTTTTCTTTCTAATTTTTGCTTTTTGTGTCTTGTTCAAGAAATTCTTCCCTACACTAAAGCCAGAAAGATATTCTCCTGTATTTTTTCCTAAAGATGTACATATTTGATTATTTATTTTTTATTTATTTATTTATTTATTTATTTATTTATTTATTTATGTATTTATTTATTTATTTATTTATTTTGTTTCTATGTCTGAGTCCCCTGCGTTGCCAGACCCAGCCTCATGGGCACAGGTTTCTAGCCCAGAGCCGTTCACCCTTGCCTTGGGTTACAGCCAGGTGGGGCAGAACCAGCCTTTCTACAGGTGGGGAAGGGGCATTTCCCCTGTGCTCAAGTTGGGGAGAACCAATCCTCTTTCCCAGGGCACACTGTCTAGCTCCCATCCTGCTCTCCACCAAAAGTTCTTCCAGAGAATAAAGGGTCCCTCAGATTCACTGCTGAGTGTATCAGTTAGACCCTCCACCAGCACTGAGTCCCGCCGCATGGCCCCTCATGCAGGCACAGTCTTTTCAGATTTTTTCATTGCTTTGGGTTAGTGCATAGAAATACCATCCTGGTGTACCAGTCAGTGCTTGACACTGTCCTTTATGTGTCCTTTGTTTGTGTTGCTGGTTTACCCACTAACTGTGATTATTCTCTAGGACAGTGATTTTCAACCAGTGTACCATGAGAATTTTTATTTATTTATTTATTTATTTTTATTTATGCTTTAAAAAAAAATCCTTATTGTTGAATGTGTTACAGATGTTCCTCATTTTCCCCCCCATTGACCCCCTCCTCCCCACTGCCATCCCCCTCCCGCCTTTTCCCACACTATTGTCTGTGTCCATTGGTTATGCATATAAGTTCTTTGGTTTATTTCTTCCCACCCCCCAGCCCCTTTCCCTTTGAGGTTTCTCCCCTTTCCCTTTGAGGTTTCTCAGTCTAGCAATGAATTTGTACTTCTTAATCCCTTCACCTTTTTCACCCATTCCCCCAACCCCCCCTCTCATCTGGCAACCAACAAAATGTTCTCTGTATCTATGAGAATGTTTCTGTTCTGCCTGTTCATTTTGTTTGTAGATTCCATTGTTGATAGATATGTATTCATTGCCATTTTGTTTGTTCATATAGTTCATCTTTTTCTTCAAAAAGACCCTTCATCATTTCGTATAATAACGGTTTGGTGGCGATGAACTCCTTTAACTTTTTCTTGTTTGGGAAACTCTTTATATGGCCATCGATTCTAAATGACAGCTTTGCAGGATAGAGTAATCTTGGTTGTAGGTTCTTGGTTTTCATCACTCTGAATATTTCTTGCCACTTCCTTCTGGCCTGCAAAGTTTCTTTTGAGAAATCAGCCGACAGCCTTATGGGAACTCCCTTGTAGGTAACTAACTGCTTTTCTTTTGCTGTTTTTAAGATTGTCTCTTTGTCTTGAACCTTTTGCATTTTGATGATGATGTGTCTTGGTGTGGGCCTCTTGGGGTTCATCTTGTTTGGGACTCTCTGTGCTTCCTGGACTTGCATGTCTGTTTCCTTCACCAACTTAGGAAAGTTTTCTACCATTATTGTTTCAAACGGGGTTTCAATTTCTTGTTCTCTCTCTTCTCCTTCTGGCACCCCCAAGATGCGAATATTGGCATGCTTGAAGTTATCCTAGAGGCTCCTTACAGTATCCTCATTTTTTTTTGATTCTGTTTTCTTTTTTGTACAGATAGAGTGGGAGGGAGAGAGAGGAAGGGAGAGAGAGAGAGAACCATCGACGTGAAGGGACACATCGAGTGGCTGCCACCCGCACGACCAACCAGGGCCGGGGACAAACTGCAACCGAAGTACGTGCCCTTGCGGGAACCGAACCTGGGTCTCTCCAGACCGCAGGCCGACGCTCTAACCGCTGAGACAAACTGGCCAGGGCTGGATTCTGTTTTCTTTTTGCTGTTCTGGTTGGGCGTTTTTTGCTTCCTCATATTCCAAATCAATGGTTTGCTTCTTGGATTTACGTACTCTACAATTGAATCTGTGTAAATTATTCTTCATTTCAGGTAATGCCTCCTTCATTTCTGACTGTGCATCCATCATTTCTGACTGGTTCTTTTTTATGCTCTTGGCCCTCACTAAGTTCAGTATTTTGAACTCAGTATTTTTTAACTCAGCATCTATTAGGTTGCTTATCTTCATTTCGCTTAGTTCTTTTTCTGGGGTTTTGTTCTGTTCTTTCATTTGGACCTGTTTCTTTGTCTCCTCATTACGGCTGCCTCCCTGTGTTTGTTTCTGTGTATTACTTAACGAGAGGTATGGGGCTATCTGAGACCAGATGCTGCTTGTTTGAAAGAATTTAGAAAAACCTGAAGCAGGATCCAAGACAGGCCAATCCTAGGGTTAAGCAACTGGCAACAGCTTGGGTGGGCCTGAAAGTCAGGTGGGGCGGGGCCTCAGGGAGTCACCAGGGCGGGGCTACCAGTGTGAGCCAGGTTGCTGGAGTCCCAGATATGGCGACTGTCTGCCACCCCAGGGAAGGGCTCATGAAAGGAACAAAGGCCTCTGACAGCACGTTTGTCCCGGAGAAAGACCCCTCTCCAGCCCTCACTCCAGTGCCAAACAGCTCAGTTCTTCCCTGTATCCCTCTGGTGCCCCTCAAGCTGTCTCACCCCCAAGCTCAGAGGGAGAGAGTCTGATAAGTCCGTGCGCGGGCCCTTTAAGGAGCTGCCTGGGGCTCCAGCCGCCTCAGCCTCCCTGAGCCTCAGTTCCCGCTGGTTTTTCCAGCCAGAAGTTATTGGGATTCTCTTCCTGGCACTGGAACCCTGAGTGGGGCACCTGGTGTGGGACGGGGACCCCTCAGTCCTCAGGAAGGACCTTCCCAGCTGCGGTGTCCTCCTGATTTTTATCCGCCACACGTGGGTGTGGGACCAGCCCCTCCGCCTCCGCCCCTCCTACCAGTCTGGATGTGGCTGCTGCTTTAATCCCGTAGTTGTAGGACTTCCATTCAGTTCAATTTCAAGCAGCTTTGAATGATGGTTGTTCTGTAGTTTAGTTGTAACTTTGATGTGGTTGTGGGAGGACGCGATACCGCGTTTACCTACCCACCATCCTGACCGGAAGTCCTGCTTTCACATTTAGATGTCTGATCTACCTAGAAGTTATGTGTATGTGTGGCATATGATGGGGATCTCATTTTCTGGTGTACGAGCAGCAAATTGTCCAGCACCATATAAGCTCTGCCTTTTCCCTGGCTTGTATTGCCACTTGGTCACACACCAAGGTTTGTATGTGCAGGACAATTTTCTAGAATACACAGACAGATCAGGAATAGACTCTGCCCTCGAGTTCAGTGAGATTAAATGACATACAGACTTATTCCTTCACTCCTTCTTGGCAAGTGTGGGTATAATTTCCAAGATCAAGAGGGGTTGGACCATTCTTTTTTTTTTATCCTCACTCGAGGACATTTTTCTACTTTTTGTTCAGTTAGAGTGGGAGTGAGGGAGGGAGGGACGGAGAGAGAGAGAGAAACATCGATGCGAAAGGGACACATCAAGTGGCTGCCACCCACACAACCCAACCAGGGCCAGGGACAAACTGCAACCGAGGTACATGCCCTTAGCGGGAACCAAACTCAGGTCTCTCTGGTCTACAGGCCGGCGCTCTAACCGCTGAGCCAAACCAGACAGGGTGGGCCCTGGCCGGTTTGGCTCAGCGGTTGGAGCGTCAGCCTGC